TTGAAGCCTACCCATTTACACCGAAAAAGCTTGACGAGCTAGCTGCAATTGAAAAGGCAAAACTGGAATCGCAGACGCTTGAGTCAGTTTTGGTTAACGGGGAAAATGATTTTGTGATGGACAAAAGTGGATCCAAGGTAATTTTTTTGTTCTGTGCTAACATCGTATGTCGTTATTGCATTACTCTTAATAACTTGCTTATTATCTCGAATTGAATTCATTAGCAAAGGTATTTTTATCATTCAAATGGTTTCCTCTTGATTAGGTCCGAGTGTCTGATCTAGTTGGAAAGAACATTCTTCTTTACTTCTCAGCTCAATGGTGCCCTCCTTGTCGTGCCTTTTTACCCAAGCTAATTGAAGCATACCACACAATTAAAGCAAAAGACAATGCATTTGAGGTGATCTTCATCTCAAGTGACAGCGATCAATCCACCTTTGACGAGTTCTATTCAGAAATGCCTTGGTTAGCCCTTCCATTTGGTGATGAAAGGAAACAAATCCTGGGTCGGAAATTCAAAATTGAAGGCATCCCTGCAGCTGTAGCGATTGGCCCAAGTGGCCGGACCATTACCAAAGAAGCTCGGATGCACTTGACAGCTTACGGGGCAGATGCTTTTCCATTTACCGAGGAACATCTAAAGCAATTGGAGGAGCTTGAGGAAAAGGCAAAGGGGTGGCCAGAGAAAGTGAAACACGAACTTCATACCGAGCATGAGCTGATTCGTACTAAACGCGTAGCATATATTTGCCATGGCTGTCGTGAAACAGGACATAGGTGGTCTTTCTATTGCAAACAATGTGACTTTGATCTTCACCCTAAGTGTGCTTTGAAAGAAGATGAAGATACTGGAAGTGAAAAGGGAAAGGAAGGATGGATCTGCGATACAGATGTGTGCCGCAGAGCTTAAGCAGGCAAGCGTACCTTGTATGTGGTTTTATATGGGCTTTCTGCTGTAATAAGCATGCGATGTAAGATGTTTGTTGCATGTGTGTGAAGATAGTGGATGTCTTTCCTGTTATTGATATGTAATTAAGACGTGTGTTGCTGAAGGATTTTCATGTCCTGTATTTTGATACCAAAAATAAATGTCCGGATTGGCTGCAGTTTATGTGAATCCTGTGACCCATTTGAAACCTGGGAATCCATGGTTGCTGGTTGTTCTCAAATCTCAATCACTTGTTATAAGGGTTTCGTCATTCCTAAAGGAAAATGCGTATCAGTCCTGCCAAAAAATTGGGAAGAGGTGCTATGCATGGTTCCATTGTGCTACTCTCTGTTTCTTTTTGGCTGGATGAAGCAGCAGCTTCACCTCTGGTGCTAATATTTCTGTAATTGTTCTGCAGATGAAAAAAAAAGATGGTTGCTTGTGACTAAACCAACATTATGTAATGAAACCTTTCTAACTCCCACCGTAAAAGAAACAAGAATCTCCGATCCAGGCAACTGGATAGTCTCTTTTTTTTTTTTTTTTTCCTTTGTGCCTTCTCACATTACCCGTTGAGGCTGGTTTCAGAATCAAGAAAGCAGCATTAATCTTAACTAAGAACTAAGCAAGAAAAACTCATCCAATAGAAATGGCAATTCTTCTGTTGCTGATGACTGCTTGACAAATGAAATCCCAGCAAGTGGAAACTGGGTTCATTACAGTTATTTGAATGGTGCTAGAGGGTGGAACCAAAATCACGAGCAGGCTATTGCTTGTAACAGTCGATGGGAGGCAAAGGACGGACATCATTAATGGCGAGCTACTAGAAGTTAGTGAAGCCAACAGCTGTACCAAGAACACTGAGATGATGGTGAGAGCTTATTTGTTACTGTGTTAATGTGTTTTTTAAGTGTTTTTAAATTTAAAATATATTAAAATAATATTTTTAATTTTTTAAAATTTATTTTTCATTTTAGTATATCAAAACAATTTTAAAATAACAAAAAAATTTAATTTAAAACAATTTTTTTCAAAAATATTTCCCAGTCTCAATTACAAACATCCCTAAATAATTTGACATCCCTAGATAATTTGCTTTACTTGTGTGCTTTTAGAACATAATTTTAAATTTTGGTTTGATTAAATTGGTCAATTCAAAATATAAATTGAACAGAATTTATAAAACAATAAAAAAAATTAAAAAATCAGTTAATATAGTAGATTGATATAGTGATCCGACAAGATCCGATCTGATCAGATCAATAACCCAATTAGGGTTATTAGTTAAAATTCATTAATCTAATTAAAATTAATAAAGTCGGATCAACCAGTAAGCTATATTTAAAAGCTTTGGTTTAGAAGGGAGGTGAGGTGGGTTTGAATTTTGTTTTTATGAGTTGGTATAAAAAAAAATTATATTTTATAGTTTTCAGTGAGATATGTCTTGTGATTAAATAAATTGTATCTCCCAGAAAATCTAACCTCGCATCATTTCGAAATACACCCCTAAGCTGCAAGAACCAAGGGATGGGGGATTTCACATTTTAGCAATGCATCGTCTAAGAAGAACCCGAAACATTTGGGAAAAAGGCTAAAATGAGAACAAGTCATTTGCCATTAAATCTATTTATTTTGCATAAAAAATCACAAAAGAAAAATTCTATAAAATATTTTTCAAGAATAATGGTAATGAAAAAAATGATGATGAATAATAAAAAAAGAAAATAGTTATAGAAAAAAATGATAAAAAATAGCAAAATAAAATAAAAAATAAAATAGTGATGCAAGTAGTGAAGATAATGAGGTGGTTGTGATTACGATGAAAGAAAAGATGGTTATGAGATTATAGTAATTGGTGATCGTGAGATAATAGTAATAATGGTATGATGAGACATAATTAATGATTAGAATAGTTAAATTATATTTAAAATGAATTATTATTTATAAAATATTTTATATAACTTCATGAAATTATAATATTTTCTAATAAATAAATTAATTTTGAATATTAATTATAATTTTTTTTTATAAAACATATGAAAAATATTTTTTACATAACAAATGTAATAAAAAAGTATAGAATTTGCATAGAACGATGAACCTCTCTACAAGATGTCCTCCATCAAATAGAAAGCGTTGTGCGAGGCGACATGGACTACAAAATGTCGCATGGGCTACAAAAGTTTTATCTCTGGGCTCTGTGCAATGACGCGGCTAGTAAGGTGCTAACTTAGGAGCCTCTATTGCCGGCTCAAAACTATTTGCAAACCCTACACGGGCCTGGGCTTGGCCTAGGCCTTCTAGAATTTCTGGAAGGGCTCCCCTAGGGGTAAATCTCTATTATACTGAAAGTTCCATTTAAAAAATATTGTCTGTGTAGTGTTACACTAATAGATAACCTACATATGGTAAATATTATAAATATAAATGTGATTTAAAAATTAAAATATTGAATATAAGATGTCGATGATTTGTTTTTTAAATATGCTTTATAGTTTTAAAATCTAGCCGTTAAAAAGCTAGAACTAGTGGGGTTTTAAAATATTAAAAAAAATAAAAATCAACATAATTCATTTAAAAATATAGATTAATTAGTAATTTAATAAGAACCGGTTAAAAACTTAATTTTAACAATGTTTAATTTTATATTTATTCTTTACAATTGAATTTATTTACCCTTATTTATGATAAATATAAAAATTAATTTTTCAGTAATAATTTATTTTCATCATAAAAATAAAAATATAATACAACATAATTTTTTATTTACATATAAAAAATCATAATAATAACAAGAAAAATTAAAAGGGATTTTACAACACTAATTTGAGCTGTTTAATTTTTTAATTTATTTTTAAAAAATTACTAATTTGAATATTATAAATTATAAAATTATTATAAAATTATCTAATTATTAATTTCAAAACCTCAAAAAAATTAATGAAATTAGATATAAGCTGGCCTCACACCAACTGTTACTTAAAAAAAAAAAAAAACTAAAAGGTGTGTATCCTAGTCTCCACCGTTAATCATAGCGTCCATGAGTCTGATCGCACGGTTTTGATAACATAGTTAGTCTTCTGTCAGTATATCTCAATTTTGCAGATCAAATCATCTCTCTAGCTTTCTCGGTAAGATTCTTCCTCTCTCTCTCTCCTTTACCATGTGATCTGCGTTTAGAATTATTACTTCAATCCTTTCGTTAATTCCTTAATTATGATCTAGGGTTTTGGGGTGTTAATTAAATTGAATTATTATGTTTGGGTGGTCGTTGTAATTTTTGGTGGTTAGATGGATTGGCAAGGACAGAAACAAGCGGAGCTATGGATGCAGATACTTCTGTTGGTTTTCGCGGCGGCTGCTTTAGCTACAGGTTATATAATAGGATCGTTTCGAATGATGATGCTAATTTACGCCGGTGGAGTGGTTTTCACCGCACTGGTTACTGTCCCTAATTGGCTCTTCTTCAACCGCCATCCTCTCAAGTGGTTGGACCCAAGCGAAGCTGAGAAGCACCCTAAGCCACGGAAGGCTGTGGTTTCCAATGACAAGAAGAAATCGTCCAAGAAGTAGGTTGGTTTTGTTAATTTTGACTGGTTTTTTAGTCTAAGCATTTGTTTGCTAGGGTTTTTAAATCTTCCATTTAATGGATGGAATGAAACGTTATGGGATGAATTGGTTGCTAGAATAACTTTGTTTTGCTATAAATTTTATGCCTTTTAGACAATGCCATTCGAGTTTCAGTTAGTTTTTTTAACTTCTTTTATGCTTGTTTTCTTGTTGGTTTTTCAGAGTGACAGCAGCTGGTTAATCTGATTATTAGAATGGATAGCCATTGTTAAGAGTACTGAATTTCGAGAACTAGAACAAATTCATCTTACTGGTCACGGAATGCAAATTCCTGTGTGTGCAGGTGTTTCTTGTCCGTTGGATTTTGGGAAGGTAATTGCTAAAATTTTATAAAAATGATAAGACATTGTTTTATCCAGTGGCCTGAAATGGGTGTTACACGAGACAGATGCTTGTAGTGAGACGGGAAATGTATCCTGCTTATGTTCTGGATGAAGCGGATTGGCCTTTTTATGATGGTTTGTTGTTTTTGTTGATAAGTAATACTATAGACTGTTGCTTCTATTAAATAGAATTGAGTTGATTATTAAGTGAGAATGCTGGTGATAAAAGCGAGGTATATAATTCTTTCAATTCTAGTTTTATGGATGAGTAAATTTTCACTCCACTATCAAGAAAGCAGCAAAGCGTGCATTTGATACAATTCTCAGTTAAAGAATCTTGAGGAAAGGGTTTACTGTTGAAGCTATTAACAGGAACGAAGAAACAAAGCATTGCATTATATCAATGAACAAAGTAGAGTTGCAATTGTTTGATTCTAGTTAACTTCATATACTGCCCCTTTAGAGCTTCATTTGTGAAGAAATTGATCTTATAATTGTAGGTTGAGTCATATGCCTTCTATCTGGTCTGGTATTTTCCGCTGGAAAGAATTATGATATTGCTCTTCTATTTGTTTTTCCTTTTCTTGCTATTGACATCCAACTCTTGACTTCAAAATTTTAAATTAGATCACAATGTTTACAGTACATCACAATTTGTTATACACACTAATTTAGCACTTTGAACAGCTTTCGTTCTTTCTCTGAATTTATGTTATCCGGCATAATTTTAAGAAATGCTGCCGTGTTTTGTTGAAAATGTATGATTATTGACAAGTATAATTTTCTGAAGGGAAAATGATACTAAAATTAAAATAAGAAACTAATTCCCCGTCTATGATCCATTGTTCTTTTGCTTGGGTGAACATTGTTTAATTGATGGAACTAGTGCTAATGCTCATTTCTTTTAATCTTTCGGGGGATCACGGTGGTTTATATGGTATGACTGGATGATAAGTAAAGGGTCTTCAAGTAAATAACAGTGGAGAACCGTAGACTGCAGCTTTGGGTGACGTGAGATGAGATTTTTGCCCAGATAGTGGTAGGGGATGCTTCCCTTTAATTTTTGGCTTCTCTTGTGGTCAATTTGTGTTTAACCATTCGTCCTTGTTTTGTCGTGATGAACCTGCCATGTTCTTCCTGGCAGCCAGAGTTATGTCAACTTCGGCAAATCTTTCGGCAAAGCTTTCTTCAAAATTTTACGCAACTAGCCGGACCTTTTCCTTTGGCCCCTCTGATATAGATGGTCGATTGAGTTTGTAGCTCGAAGCAGGATAGGAGAGTTTTAAACCTTCATCGGGCTGGAAATTGGAATATGAGACCTAAAAG